TGTCTCTTTTCTTCTCCATCTTCCTTTCCCATTGTCCCTACTTGGAACCTCCTCCCTTCCCCTACTTTATCTTTTGCTTTATTTCCTTGGTTAAGGATTTACTTTCCCAAGAGCTAGTCTTGCCTTCACAGCACCTCCCATCACACTTACTCTGGGGGCAGAAGGACACTGCTCCTTCCCCCACCCCCACCTCATGGTGTAACGTAGATAGTTTAGACATGAGGAGATGGTATGTTTGACGCCCTTCTTTGAAATGTCAGCGCATTATAAACTTAAGTTGTGAGAGATGGGTGTGGATCATTCCTAACAACTGTATAACACATTCACTCTCGTTATCTCATTATCTCTGGGCAACTTTTACAGGCTCAAAGAGATTAATGATTTGTCAAAGTCACCCAGCTTGAAAGTGGCAAAACTGGGACTTGAAGCTTTGTGTTGAGTAGGCAGTGTGTTTCACACCGTATTTTCTAGGTGAAGGGTCATTTGTCCTTCTTTGACTAAACTGGAAGCCAGATCTAAACTAACTAGTCAAGAGAACCCGAAGTAATATCAAGTGCACTTTTGAGCTTATCAAGTGTCATTTAGGAAATCTTCCTGTCCTTTAAGCCAGAAGAACCTGCAAGACTCCAAAGAAAGCTTCACCTTCAGAAAACCCATGCGCTCATTAGAAAATTGGGCTTTGATGATGACCTTGGTTCAGGCCATGTGCCAGACCACAAGATTACAAAGCAGTTATTGGGGCACCTCCTCCAAAGGATTGTGAAAGGCAACCTTAATGGGTGTGTGAAAGGCAGCACACAGAGCGCAGGCTCAGACGATTTTCCCTGGAGAGCAAGAGTAAAGGCCCTTTAAATGAAATCTCCAGATTGAAAGGGGTGCTGTTATTAGACTCTTGGAGTTTCCTTCCCCTCTGAGAACTTGGAGTCCACATTCTCTTTTCACCTTCCCTCTCTCTGGCTCCAGGAGTGAATAGCACTCTTGACGCAAATAATCCATAATCAATCTATAAATCAAAATTGGAGTGAGTTTATTATGAGCCAGGTCTGAGGACTATAGCCCAGGGCCTTCCTTCCCCAAGGGCATCAAAGAAGGAGGGTATACAGAGTGGTATACTGTCTTGGAACAAAGAGCATACATCACATATGATAGGAATGTCCCTTTTGCAATAGTCATGAGGTTGCTTTGCTGGCACAGCAGATCAGTGGTCACAAGAAATAATCCTCATTTCTAGAAAGAGATGCTTATTGTTAAGGAAATGCCAATATCGGGGAAGATACATCCTATCTTTAAGGGCATCATTCTTGTCTTTGGGACATTGTAAATGTTTAAAGCAGATGTATAATGCACGCTCAACAGGCTACAACAGGCCCTTTTGGAAATACAAGATCAGGCCAAATTAGTTTTAAACCAAATGGCTTCCTCGTATACTCCAATATATCCTATCGTTTTCCATTTATTTAACAGAACTTTCCCAGGCAAAACACACACCATATGAGACAGTGCACTGGCTAGGGCTTTGAAGGCTTGCTAACTGTCAAGCCCCAGGCAATCCCTCAAACTTTCTGGACCTCATTTTCTTATTTGTAAAGTGAGGATGATTAAGACCTCTCATGCCTACCCCATACAGTCATTACAAACAGCAAAGGAGGTAACACATACCTGAGTGCTCTGTAAGCCATAGTGCACTAAATAGATGGAAGTTTCTGTCCTCATCTGCCAACCTCTATCTGCAAAAGCAAGCTCCTCTGGATAACACTAGCACTAGAGCTTTCACCAATTTCTGAAAATTTAATATCAGTTCCATCTCTTTAGGATATTTGTAGCATTTCCAGTAATATGTGTGATTTCCAAAAATAAATAATCCAACGATGTTTTAAATAAAAAATTTAAAAGACATTGCAAACCAATTTGGCGAAAAAGCTATCAGGAATAAGTTTGTTACTGCAATTAAATACTAGATTTATCTGTGAGCTTCCTCGTCATAAAAGCAAAACAGGAGAAATATAGTGGATATTTGAGTTCTCATCCAATATAAGGAACTGTATAATTCATCTAGAGAAAGGAGCTTCTTCCTGGCGGTAATTTCTTGATGGATTCCTGTATGACTATGGAAGACATCAGCAGAAAATAATACATATTGGCTTCATCTGGTTTTGCCAGAATTTATGTTCTTCATATGGAGGTTTCTTATTTTAGCCCTCTATACAAGCTGGGGGTCCAATATGAAAGTTTAACATGAGTGAAGGCAATTATTGAGGGGAGTGAAAATAATAATTGATTGCAGAGGGACTTTTCAAGAGTCCAGAGCTGTGGTTCTCATCCTTGGCTTGCATTGGGATCACCTGGGGGGCTTTAAGAAACACTGATGTCTGGGCCCCCCTTAGAGATTAGCATATAATTGCTGAAAGGTGTTGCCTGAGCGTAGGATTTTTTTAAAGCTCCCCAAGTGATTCTAATGTGCTACCAAGGTTGAGAACCACTGTCCCTGGAGTCATGAGTAATTAGCATGTCACTTTGATCCTTTATCTGAAGACTTACAGGTCCCTGAGCCATCAGCATGGACTGCATCACAGTGAATTTGTTGATATTGTGTGATTGACCAAAGATAGGGTTTTAGACTAGTTGAGGGCAGGCTCCAGAGTTGACATCTCTTGCGGAAATTTTGGAACCTGATTTCTCTTCTCACTTCCCAACAGACAAGGCTATAAAAGTCAGGTGTTCTCAACAAGAACATTGACAAATGCTAAGTTGAGACCCATCGTTCCATGCCATAAAGCATAGGACATATCATTTTGACTTGAAAAATATCAAAGTCAGTTGTTAACACTTTGCTGTTTTATCCTTTTAAGTCCTTTAAAGGGAGAAAAACAAAAACCTGAGTAGGACGGTGTCTGATTTTAACTAGGTCTTAAGTCAGTGGTTCTCAAAGGGTGGTCTCTCCAAACCAGCGTCATTAGCATCACCTGAGAACTTGTTAGAAATGCAAATTCTCAGGCCAGCCCCCAGACCTAGTATGTTAGAAACTTGAGAGTGGGGCCCAGTAATCTTGTTTTAACAAGCCCTCCAGATGATTCCGATGCAGAAGTCTGAGAACCACTGATTTCAACTGTCAAGAGGACTGTTTTTGCCTCCTCGAATGGGCAGTAGTATGATTGAAGCCTGGGATCTCTGCATGTGTGTGTTCTACAAGTTTTGCAAAAAGACATACATTCTTAATTGGTGTTTTTGTGTTTAATTAGTAGTGCTTAGAATTTGCTTGATTTTCAGGCAAGATTTCCTGAAGTTTGTTAGGGAAGAAAGAGAGGATTGATAATGTACAACTAAGTAATGGGTTCCCAACTTGAGGGAAAATCAAAGATTTCTCTTTGTGAAGAAGAAACATTGCCTGAATGGTTGTTGAGATGAAATATTTTGGCTAAAATTGTGACCTAATATCCAGGATGAGTGCTAAATAATTCTTAAAACAAGAGATTGTGTCAAGAAGCTCTTGTTAGCGTTGGTGATTTTAAGACATTTTGGAGGAATCAGAGGACCATAGGATCTAGAAAATGTGGCAAGAACATCATAGAATAATAAAGCAGAAAAAATTAGCTCACCCAGTCAGTAAAAAGTATCAGACCAACAGCCTGTACGGAAAAGGAAGGAGGAAAACCTGCTGGGTGGGGAAGGCAGAAGTGGGATGAGCCAGAGATGACGAAGAATCAACCCAGAAGGTGTGAGTAATGAGCAGTCTAGGACTGACTCAAGGCCTTGGGTTTGGCCCTCACCCACAGCCCCCAGGGAGGCCAGGCATGGGACACACCCAAACCAGGGAAAGGAGGGCCTGGAGAGCAGGTGCTGAGAAGTCAGCAGTTGACAAGGGGCCACTGTTGAAGGAGCCCTTGCCAGATATTAAGCCAACTTCAAGCCCCTTGTGTTCCAATGTGTAAATCTTAACCATCCCCTCTCCTGTTTCCAGCCAGACATAGTTACTGTTCCAACGTGTAATACCAGTCCTGCCCCTAAAGGAAAGAGAAGGCAAAATGCGCGCAGTGTGTAGTTGTGCCAGTTCTCCAGCTAAATACATGCAGAAGGGTGCGAACACTTTAGGGGACTGAGGACTGGGAAGGGTGCTGTGCCATGAGCATTTTCATTTTCTCCCAGTGCCATTCATTGATTAACAGTATCACATTCCTATACTGGGAGGTGCAAAAACTGGCCTCTTTTCACTGGAAACAAGCATTCACAGCACCAGTCTGCAACACACACCCAGAGAACAGGGATGACGGAGAAACCTTCTTCCCACTTTCCAGAAAAGACATTTGATCGTATTTTTCCTGCTTGGAATTATAGAAGTTCCCTTCTGTTCTGGCTGAGCCTAACTCTCCAGATGCCTTCACTTGCCCGTGAGGTTTGACACATCAGGAAAGTCATTAATATGATTCCTACGAGACATGTGGGAGACACCTCTGCTGTAGACTTTTCCCACAGAGGAGCATGATTCCACATCTGGTGATGGGCCAACTCCAAATTAGAAATGCCCCTGCTCTTGAGCCTCAGCCTCCAGCTTCCTGACTGTAAGACTTGGGGCAGCAGAGCTTCCCTTACCAGAGTCCCCACTGACTGATCCCGTAGGAGAGGGCCCTTGGCAATAATATAGTGTATGTTTTAAACTTCTCCATGGGCAACCACCCTAATGGAAGATGCCCTCCATCCTCTCCAGGGTCTCAGGAGAAGAAGGCTTGGCTTCTCCAGGTGTACTGGAGGAGTCCAGAGCCAATAAAAATGAACAGTGGGAACTCTGGTGGCAAACAAGCAAAGGGTCCTCTCATTGTCCCTCAGCCACTGGGCTGGTACAGCTTGGGTAAGGCCCCCAGTTCATGGATCCTAGGCCACAGAGGCCAGGAGTTTCTAAGCATCCTGGTGGGGCTACTTCTGAGGTCATGAAGGCTGGCCACATCCAGAAAGGGCTCTGCCCAGCTCCTCCTGAGTTTCCGCCCTTCTCTGCCTCTTCCTTCCAGATCACACGGCAGCAGTACCAGAACGCGCTCACCGCCTGCCACATGGACAGCTCACCCCAGTCCCCTGACATGGAGGCTTTCACTGATGGAGACTCCACCAAGGCCCCCACAACCCGGGGCACACCCCAGACTCCCAAGGATGACCCTGCCATCACCCTGCTGAACAACAGAAACAGCCTGCTGTGTAAGTCAGTCAGGCAGATGGGCTGGGTTACTATGGGGTGAGGATGGCTCTGCCTTCCTCCTCAACGAGGCCCAGAGCTGCAATCTTGTGCTTCATGGAGCCCCAGGTCTTCTTTAAAGCAGAGGGGTGACATGCTTGCTGTCCTCCTCAGGCAGCCGCCCCGATGGGCTGAGAAGCCCCGGTGAGGTCGTTTACCTGAGGATGGAGGAGATGGCCTTCACCCAGGAGGAAATGACGGACTTCGAGGAGCACAGTACACAGCAACTCTCACTGTCTCCTGCAGCTGTTCCCACCAGGGCAGGTGAGGGAAGGAACCTGGGCCGGCAGGAGCAAGAGGGGTCACCACCACCAGGTGCTGGGATGACCCAGGGCGAGCGGGTGAGGGGAGCCTGGGCCCCAGCCCCTGTGTAAAATTTCCACCTCCTTACACCGCCAGGGAAGGAAACTAACACTTACTGAGCGCCTGCCATGCGTCAGGCCAATCTTAATCCATTCTCCCAGGAAAGCTGTGTGTACAGCAGTGATAGGAGCTGTATTTCCTCCTGGATTCAGACCCTGGCTCCTTCATTTAGGAGCTTTGCAATTTTTGGCAAGTTGCTTTAACTTAGGATTCAGTTTCCTTGTCTTCAGAGATAAGTTTTCTTATGTGATAGATATAAATCATGGTGGCCAGCGCATAAAGTAGCTTTGAGTATAGATGAGATAACATATATAGAGGGCACACCACGGTGCTTGGGACCATGCTCTCTAAATATTAGATAGTTATTATTATACCTACTTTACAGATTAAGAAACTGAAATCAGCCATCACTTACTGGCAGAGCTGTTCCTTTCTTTTGGGCCCCAGAGACCGGCGGTAACTGTAGGACTTATCCTGAGGTCTGAGATCGTATCACCTCCCTCTGAGACACTGAACGTTCTGTCTTGACGGTGATGTTGCCCCGAGCTCCCCGTGTCCCACCAGTCCTGGGATCCTTCTGTGCTTGCCTCACTCAGATATACTTCCCCAGGCATTCAGAAGCCCCCTCCACCCACCCCCCAGGCCAGCAATTACCCCACCCAACCTTTCAGACCTGCCCTAGTCCGTAGTCTGAGACCCTCAAGTCCAAAGCAATGACCTGATGAGTGCTCATAGATTTTTGAAGTCAGCGAGACAGCATATTTGAACTTGTGGCTAACTCAGAAAATCTGGAACACACAAAATCACCATTGCAGGACCTGGATTTAGAACTGGTGTTCTTTTTCTCCTGCACAGACTGAATTTAGTGGCTAAAGCGTGTAGCAGGAAATTGTATAAAGGAAGAAGAATGGAGGAGACGGGCTTGTCTTTGGGGATCATATAGTCTATCCTCCTTGTATGACACATGAGGACCCTGAGGCCTGGAGAAGGGAAATGACTTGCCCGAGGCCATACACTGCATTAGAAGTGGGCGAGGCCTCGTCGCTTTGGGTGCAGAGCAGTTTCCAGTACACCACTTTGCATCCCTGGTTAACTTCTTATTGCATTTGCAGTAAGGGCCTGAGCCACTTCCCGGCTCTGAGAGTCTGTGGCTCCCTGAATCCCCACTGGGTTTGGTGGGAGAAGATAAAGGCATGTGTTTGTTATTGAACTTGGTGATTTTCCAAGGCCTGTGCAGGTAGAGGAAGGAGCCATCCCCACCTGTCCTCACATGTACTCTTTGTCTAGCAGAGATACTGAGTGGAGAATGTCTTGTTCTCTTCTTCTCTCTCTTGCCAAACAGTGTTTGGATACTGGATTCCCACTCCTGTTCTCTGTCTCGTTGTTCCTTTTGTGGCACTAAAATGCCTCTTGCTAACTAATTAGAGCCAGTGCCTTCCTGGGCATCCCTCCCTACAGCCACCACTGCCTTGGCTCTTGGTTTGAACTTTGACCTGCTGAGGAACATCTCCCAGAATCACCCCACCTAGATCCCTGGGTGTGTAGGTTGGAAAGACTCGAGTTCTGTCTTCTTTCCTTTCTCTCAGCATCAGATAGTGAATGTTGTAATATCAACCTGGACACAGAGACCAGCCCCTGCAGTAGCGACTTTGAGGAAACTGTGGGCAAGAAGCTGCTGAGAACCTTGAGTGAGTAGCTTTTCACCCAAACAAAAGCCGCCCACCAGCTGGCTAATAGAAACGTCATGTTAGGTTATTACTCCTGGAGGAGGAACTGCTGACTCCTTTTGCGAACCCTAATGAGGTACAATTGTGGAAATCCATAATACGGCTTGGGCCAGTACCGCACCTTGATGGGTTTGGGGATCTGTCCCATTCAGTTGGTGATTTGGACAAGAGCCTGCCATCCGTGGCCAAGAGCCAAATCCTGACCTCCCTCCCTGGCCTGTTCTTGTAAATAAAGACTTATTGGATCATAGGCCCATTTGTTATCTGTGGCCACAATGACAGAGTTGAGTAGTTGCACCAGGGACCAAATGGCCTGCAAAACCTATAATATTTACCATCTGGACCTTTAAAGAAAGAATATGTGTCCAGGAGACTCAATACAAAAGGAAAGCAATATCCTCTATGGAAGGAAGTCAATGGCAAGAGAACAGGGTGGAAAATATTTCCTCCTAAAAACAACAGAGCTGGGAGCAGAGTGCCCTCCCATCCTTGAGGATAATTATGTAATTACCCCCACCTGCCCCAGTGCAGAAGGGAAGTTACTTAGAGCTAGAGAATGAAGGTCCCGGGGAGTGACTCCCAGCTACACCCACCACCCCTGGCTGATGGGACCTGAAAGGCTGTGAGAGTCCTCTTTCAGTGTCTGGCAGTCATTTGGCCCGGGGCCTCTAGGGGATGGGGAGAGCATGATCCTGAGGCATTGCATGGGCTTTATTCAGTCCTCTCCAGGAAATCGCCCTTCCATTGGCATTAGGCTGGGTTTGTGGCTTTTTGGGGATGTCATCTCAGTGGAAAGTGCAGCCTAATCCTTCAAGATGTAAATATGCTATTAGCACCAGGATACAATGCAGATTACTTCCTGCCAAACTGTTAAGGGCTTTGTCTCCATTTCTGCTCCTATTATGAAAAGAGCTTGGACCACCAAGAGAGTATGAATGTCCTCCTGGTCTTACAATTGATCCTTACAAACTGTGTTTTTCAGGTGGTCGAAAAAGGAAGAGGTCATCAGATGGAGAGCGAGCCTCTGAGGAGAACTCCAACTTAACGCCTCTGATCACATGATGGGGCAGACTGCATTTGCTGGGTGTGTGAGATTGCAGAGCTTTGGGGGAGAACCCACCCTCCCATCATCTGCTCCCCCCCAAAGCCTCCCACAGGTGACAGAGCATTCTGCTTTCCTTACCACCTCTTCACCCCTAGCTGTCAGTTTGGCAGATTTTCCCTCATTGCCTCCAGTTTGACTCAGAGCCTTGCTGTGGCCGTAATGGAAGGAGGTGCCTGCAATGGAACATGCTAGAAATGGTCTTGTCCACAGCACAGTCTGGAACTGGAGAAGAAATGACCCCAAGCTGACAGTGCCACTCTGGGACCCCTGTTGGCCTTTGTTGTTTGGGATCCCCTGATGCCATATTTCATGCTTAGCTTAATACAGAAGGTGCCACCGGCAGACAGGGACATAGGAGGCTGGAGTAGCAGGTGTGAAGGTTAATTTCAGGAGATGCACCAAGAATTCCTCCAGAACTTTAGAACAGAGGGACTCAGCTATGTTGGCATGTGAAGTTACAGTACAGAAAACTGTCAGTGACCAGTTTCCTGTTAGATAAGGGTTTCAGCAGCCTGGGAAGTGTGTCTCAGCTGGAATGGAAAGAATGTGAAATGGAACCTCAAGTCACTGTTTTTCCCAGGGACGCATCTGTTTTGGCTCCCAATCAGCAGTCATCAATCCATCAATAAATCTGCTCTGGAAGAGGAGGAGCAGGGAGCAGAGAGACCCAATTGGGAGCCAGAGATGGAACTTCAGAGATGGAACTTCAGGTTTTAAGATCAAATCAAAGCAAAAAGAAAAATAATTATATGGAAAAATTCTAAGCTGTTAAAGTGAGTTTAGCCATGACAAACCAAAGAGTGCCCAGGTCAGCCAAGAAGGATGCAAGCTCTCGTGGGACTTCAGTGTGCATCCCACAGGAACAGTGAAGAATCACTCTTCTTTTTCATCCATTCCTCTCACCCCCACCCTTACTCCACCCCAGCAGGTCAGCTAAGTGTACTTTATGCCGAGAACTTACTAGATCTCTGGGTTTTCACCTGGATGTTGGGGTAGATGCAATTCCAAGCGTAACCACCAGGTGGCAGAATGACTGCATATACCTACTTAATAAATCGTTCTGATGAGGAACCACACACCCAGACTTTGGGAAAATGTGGAAGTAAGTGAAGGTTGTCCTTGGGACATCTGTCTCCCTTTCTGACCTGTCTCCCACCCCTTGGGTCCCTTCAGTCAGGGATCCAGTGATCCAGCGCCGCCTGCTGAATCTCCAAACCATTCCCAAACTTTTCCATCCAGGTTTACCACCCCTTTCCTCTAAAACCATTACTCCCATCTCTCCACACCCTTTCAATCAATAATCACATGAAGAGGTGGGAGATTGATAATTCCTCTGGGTTATTTGCATCTCAAAAGAAAATGCTTACCCACAGGAACCTTTAACTCAGGGGTTCTTAACTTGGGGTCCATCACCCCAGAGGGTCCATTGTTGGACTTCAGAGGGTCTATGAAAGCCCTAGCACTGTCCGAATTTAGTATATGTGTTCTTACGCGTGTTTTCCAGAAGCCTACAGCTTTCATAAAATTCTCACAGATCTCAGACCCACCAAGGGTTAAAAGCCACTATTTTAACTAGTGGAACTTTCAGCCCAAAGTTTCTGCAATGCAGAGTGAATAGTGGGCAGTTTGAGACAGATTTTTAGTTATAAGTGGTCTTCTCAAGTGTCCGTCACCTCAATGGGGAAAGCTGGCACCCACCAAGCCGTGGAAGTCCTCAGAAATTCTTGGCACGCCCTAGAGTACTGTACAACTTGGACCCCACATAACGCGGCCCCTGCTTCCCCGCCAAACCAGAGCAGGTATTGCAGACAGGAGGGCCACAGCACGTGGAAGTAAAGACTTTTCAGCTGGAGATGGCTTTTCCAGTAATGTATTATCGGCTTCATACCGCTTGCCTGGTTCTGCCTGAGGCTCAGCAGTGCATGACTTCTCGTAAATAACTCCGCAGCCACCACCCACCCCCAAACCTACTCTTGCCTGGTAGGAATAGGCAAAGTGTCAGACACCCTTGGTGCTGGTTGCCTCAGACCCAAACCAGTGAACGGTGAGTTTCCAGCAAGAACTGCCATCATGCAGTCTTGCCCCGCTGGCCACTGGCCCAAGGGAGCCTGCCTGGCTAGTCTTCCCTACCCCTTAGGCCACGGGGCTCGGGCCACTGCTGCTGCAGTACACCCCTCCCTTTGCAAAGTCCCCTAAGGAGCCTGTCACCACTCCTTTCCTTATTCCTCGCCGCCTCCCCTCCCAAGGTTTTCTTCAGGTTAAAAAAAAGTTTAAAAAAAAAAGAGGATTTTAAAATAAAGCATTTATGAAGGCTCAATAAATTGTAAATAATTTTTAAATAAAACGAAAATGCCTTTCCTGGAATGTGGCTGTTTTCCTTGCCCCTGGAATCTGAGAGTTCTGAAGTGGCTTAATTTGAGATGCAGGTTGGGTGGTGCACACCTATAATTACCTCACCTGAGGCCCACCTGCCTGAAGAGGCACACCTCTCAGGGCCAGGTGAGAGGCTGCTGTTAAGGTCACAGGAAAACACTCAGGCTCTACTTTGGGCAGCCAGATGGGTAAGATTTTGCAGGAGCGAATGGCGGAAATGGAAAGTAAAACCCAAATGAGAAGCCGGAGTGTGAATGCAGATAAGGAAGAAGCCCTAAGACGATAATGAGAAGCGCAGGCATTTGTTGAACGCAAAGTGATATGCGAGGCATGGGCTGGGCACCTTCAAGGTCAAGGGGGCCAGACCCAGGCAAGCACCCGAGACAATGTGCTGGTCACGCCAAGTAGCTTCTGCAGACCATTTGGAGAGGAGCCGAAGTGACACAACTCCAGCAGTTTCCAACCAAAGGCTGGGAAAGGAACAGGGAGTGGGCCAGGCTCATTGGTCAGTCTTAAACCAATGCAGGAGGGAGGGAACAGCTAGACAGGTGGGAAGGTGTGTTTGGGCATTTAAGGTCTTTGTGGAAGGCTGGAATCTGACACCTACTACAAATTTCTGAAACCTGAACACAGGCCGATTAGTGGCCTGTGCCAGAACGACTTAAGATTCTTCCCAGGAGTCTCCATAGCTCTTAACTTCATTAATAATAATAATAAATGATAACTATTTTGCTGAGGGCTTTATGCACTAAATCTTGTGCAAAGTATACATTAGCTCATTTCTTTCTCAACACCACCCTGTGAAGGTGGCATTACAGTCTGTCCCTGTTTTACAGTCTGCACAACAGCTCAGTGAGGTGACTTGCTCAAGGTTCCACAGCCAGGAAGTGGTGGAGCTGGAAGGTGTGAGTGCCCCCTGGTGAGCAGGCAAAATGTGAACCCATCCTACCGCTGACAGTCACAGTGCATACCTGCGTGCTAGGGGCCCTGAGGAGTCCTTCAGTGAAGAAACCATCGGAACTCAGGACGCCCAGCTTGTCCCAGGCTTACACAGAGCCCTTTCTTCATGTGAGCATACGTAGGACCCTGGAACACACTGGAGGGAACACTGACCAAAATATATATAGAAACAGAGTGAAGAGCCCAAAGTCACAGTGGGATTGGCACGTTTTTAAAATGCTGAAACATTTTAGCACTTTGGTTTAAAGAAGTGCTTTTAACTGTTTTTTCATCAGTGCCCCCCCACAAAGAGAAAAATTGCATTTAAATTCTCCCTAGCAAGAGAAATTAAATACCAAGAAACAAGATTTTGTCAAATAGGATTGCGCTTTGGAGGGCCACAAACCATTTTAATACTCAGAGCTTTTTTGCCCCCAAGAACCAGTTTTTGCCCCCTTGGAGGTACTGTCACCCTCTTGAGAATTCATGGTTTAAAGCTATGCTTCGGGAGAATGAGAGATGGCCAGAAGGGAGAATTGTTCGCCTCCTATTTGCCCGTCTTCCCTGACTCACGACAAGCATTTTTAAATAGGAAGGGGAGCAAATATCAATAGAAAGGAAGGTAATGAAGAGATGAGTGCAGGATCACCCAGTCCCCTTAAGTCTGTTCACATGTGCCAGTGCAATCACACACTTGCACAGTGTCCTCTGATGGACTGCGGGGGATCCAGCCGGATGGTGAAGGATCTGGAAACCATATGCTGTGTGGAAACACTGAAGAATGGGGAGAGGGAGGAGTTTCACGTGGAGAAGCGAAAACGAGGAAGAACTGCCACTTGCAAATGTCTGAAAGGCCATCAGTTAGAAGAGCCAGTCGACTTGGTGTCCGTGGGTTTAAAGGGAGGGAGGAGGGGACCAGGGAGTGGGGCAGATGGAGATCGCACTCCAGATCAGGGTAAAAGATCTTCACAACTAAAGGGCTCTATCGTGAGAATGGGATGCTTCACCGTTGAAAGAATCCATCTGCCTGCCCCCAGCCCAGCTCAAAGTGACAAGTCAGGGACAACACAGGAGAGAGTATTGCACTGGGGGAGAGAGGCTGGAGTCGATGACTTCTAAGACCCAATCGCCCTCGAGACTGTAGGATTTTATAACAACTCAAAGGCATCCTAGAAAAGGGCAGATCCTGTTAAAATAACAAGAATTCTCTTTCAATATTCTAAAACTCCAAGTGGCCCTCTTGTTGTAAGAAAACTCAACCCCACCAAATTCTACAAAACTATCATTTGGAGAGAGTCCCTTGGACTCTGTGGAAAATGTGATCTATGTTGAAGTGGCTCTAACTGTTTCAACAGGGTAGGAGGTACTCCAGCTGCAATGGGCGGGGCTGGTGTCCTAGCATCACCCCGAGTGATGTCAACCCTTCTACAATCCATGAAGTCCAGTTTCCAAAGTGATATAACAAGACAGCTGGCCTCTGAAGGACAAGCCCATAAAACTGACATAGAGTTGTGGTACCACCAGTTCACTAAAAAGAGGCATACCACAAGAATACACTGTAGTTTCTTCTTTAGCATCTAGTAAATCCCTCCATAGCATTCACTTTAAACCATGGGTACCACCCATCAGTGGATCACAAAATCAGTTCCATGGGTCTCAATCAGCACTTTTATTTTTTTGAGAAATAGAACACAATAGAACGGACTAGAAAATATCAGAATGCACTACACATCACAAGGGTAAATACTGTTTTGTGAAACTTTTGTTTCAGTTAAATATGTGTGTGTGTGAGATATTTAAATATATATCTTACCTCGGTCACCATAAAGACCTAAAGCTTAGGGCTAGGGACACAGCCATGCAGAAAGAGCAGGGAAGACAGACGCTCTGGGTCGACATGATGAGTTTTAATGACACAGCCAACACCCACAGTCACACGTGGCTCTTCAGACAACTCGATCTTTGGGACTAGACTTTGCACAGAGTGAAGCAACACGAAGCAGCACATGAGCGACACGGCAACACTCCTGCTTCTAGTGAGGGGGCAAGATATCTATGTCTCATGATCAAAGTACCCTTTTCTTCTTAAATAAATATCTTAATTTGCTCTGGTTTCCAAAAGGGGTCTAATCCCAGGCCCCTATTTCTTTTCAAGGGAGGTTCTTTTCACACAGGGCCAGTTTAAACGGAGGCAGAGCAGTCTTTGCCATCCTTCAAGTCTCTAATCTGTGATATACACAAGGAGGTTTGTACAGGCAGGGAACACACGTGACAGAGGACCGCTTTGGTGGCGCTGGTTTGGGTGATGTTTCCTCACTGGAATTTGGTGACTGCTTCATGGATGGAAGTGGCCACATAATCTAGATTTTTGGTGGTCAAGCCACACATGTTGATCCGACCACTTGGCAGCAGATAGATGTGCTTTTCATTGACCAGATATTCAACTTGCTTGGCTGTTGAAAACCAAAAGAGATACAATCAGAGTAGTAGGAATCTTTTAAGCAATGAAGATTCAGAGATTCCATGACAATCAGAATTTTCCCTCTCCCACTAAGGCAGAAAGCTATTTTAACCAGTTGACGCATAGGGAAATTGGCTCAATAGATTCTGGAAACTTATTAGCTAACTTTCTAATTCCCAGAAAGCTTAATATGGCTCCTCCTGATGGGAATTTTAACCTGGGACTACCTCCCAACCAAACCTTGCACATTACATTCACCAGGAAACCCTGCTAATTAAAACCACCCTCAGACTTAAGAACATCCCATTGATATGAACAACTAGTTATGAAGTGCTTCCTTTATCTCTTCCTTAACCTGTATTTGCTTATCCCTGAGCACCTAGCAGCAACCTCCCTTTGACATTTCGTTTTCACAGTACACCGTATAAGGCCCCGTGCATGAGAGGTGCTGGATAAATTCTGTGTGCGTGAACCAGCGGGCTGAAAAACTGCAAAGGCCTCTGATCTGGCACTTCTCAGCTTTCTCATTCAAAGAAATGCAGGAGGGCTTTCCCATGGGTTTGCAGGAATGCTCATGTATGAAATAGGAAGGGACTGCCTGGACCTCCTTTATGGCACAATCTTTAGAGCCATGGCAAAATTTTAGCTGATTTTTGCCTAAGTAATCAGCACCCTTAAGGCATCATCAATTTGAGGGAATGGGATAATAATAACTGAATGTTTGTGTCCCTCCAAAATTCATGTTGAAACTCTAACCCCAACCTGATGGTATTTGGAGGTGGGGCCTTTGGTAGGTAAGTAGGTTTGGATGAGGTCATGAGGGTGGAGCCCCCATGATAGGACTATTGTCCTTATAAGAGGAGACCAGAGAGCTTTCTCTTTCTCTCCACCTGCCCCCAACCCACCATGTGAGGACACAGAAGACATCCATCTGCAAGTCAGGAAGAGGGCCCCCACCAGAACCTGACCATGCTGGCACCCTGATCTCCGACTTCCCACCTCCAGAGCTGTGAGAAATAAATCTCTATTGTTTAAGCCCCCAGTCTATGGTATTTTGTTATGGCAGCCCAAGCTAAGATGGTAATAAAAATCGTAATAATCAGAGGAGCAAACACTATGTGCCAGGCAGTGTTCTAAGCACTTTATATTAACTCAGTTCATCTTGATAATAATATTATCCCCATTTTATAGATGGTGCAGACGGAAGTTAAATGACCTTCCCAATGTCACACCGTGAGTGGTGAAGCTGGGATTTTAAGGCAGACAGTGTAACTCAAGGGTCTGAGCTCAGCCAGGACACTATGCGGCCTTGGTATGGAAGTGGAAACCTGGCACAGCTCAGTGCTATCCCGGCCCCTCCAAACAAACCGCCCTTCGGAAGTACCCTTGACCACTCTAACTGTGTGAATTAGTCACCCAAGGAGATAAAGCCTAACCTCGCACACCAACAACAGAGCCACAGGGACGCCACTGTTTGTAAAGCCCATGCCCCAGAGGCAGATGTTGTGGTTACAGGGCTCCCACCTGTGTTTTTAAATAAAAATGAAACTTCTCTACTTTTGCAGGACAGGGGAGCGTCACGGTTGAGAAGCCAGTAAAAGTTATGGACTCTTTGCCTAGAAAAAGGCCAATATACACATACACAATTTTTAAAATATGAGCTTCACACACCTCCTAAAGTACATCCACGGACTATAGGTTGAAAGCCCCCATTCTGATGAATAAAACATAAAGGAAGCACCGTATGTAACATGAGAATTGAAGAAACTAGGTGGTGGGTATAAGGGGTTCACCATACAATTCCGCCAACCTTTCTGTATGTTTAAAACTTCTCCTTCCTAGGTTAAAACTTTAAAATCTGGGGAGGAAAAAAAACCCCATGTTTTTAAAAAGGGTAAATGGTGCTAAGTGCTAAAAATATAACTTTTGTGTTATAAGCACAGGTCTATTCTCACCATTTTCCACTTCATAAAAAAATTAATTTCCTACTCTGGAGAGTGGGACAAGATGGATATTTTATGGGGAGACATCCCCATCTTGTGAACTTTTAGAATATTACTACTAAACACCATTTCCACTACACTTAATATTTTAAGACTTATATACGGATGATTTTACTTATTCCAGTGAACTAACTGCCCATTCCAGGGTCGTGAGGACACCTATGGCTAACTGGGCTATCCCCTTTACTTTCCTGGACAGCCTCATTTTACCCCAAAGTATTCCAAGGGGTCTACAATATACAAATTCTATCACCTTTCTTGTTTATATGTATTTCCCTTGGCTTTTTCGGAGCCCGTTTCAAAGAGGCACTCTGATGGTTTACAGTACGGCACTCTGTGACTTCCTACCAAGCCAGGCACAACACATCTGTCCCAAGAACCACCCGGACACAAGCTCCACACGCAGGCAAGTGGCCACATCTGCACCACGTGACTGGCGGTTTGGCCGGTAAGTGCTATTATTTACTAAACGAATGAATCCTCTGTCATCAGAAGGGACAGTCACTGATGTCTCCTACTGACAGCTGACCAAGATTGTGCATGGGGGTCCACTAGACGTTCAATCAGCTTTTAATTCTAACTACCAATCTAAGTTCTTATTTCTGAAATGGAGAGATAACTTTGTAACCTTTTTCAGGGCAATGCCTGGAGACTAGGAAAGATCTGTTAAGCAAGAAGGTCCCTGAATAATCATATATAATATTTATACTTAGGATTAAGGAAAAGCCAAAAGGTACCTGAGCATTTATGAGAGCCCTTTCATAAATCAAGGCTCCAAGCTACAAATCCTGTTACTTCCCAGCTGGCTCTGAGCTACTTCCCAGCCCAGAAAAATGAAAATATCTTACTTACGAGTCAGCAGGGCAGACCACAGCAATGCTCTTCTGAGACCCAAGGGTTCAGAGGCGGGTGGGACACACTGAGAAAACCTAACTTGTTCTGGTCTAAAGCCATGGCTGACCAATCAGGCAAGAGCTAATGGAGCTGAGCCCAAGAACACTGACAAGAGCAGAGCTGTGTCCAACAGTGTCCAGCATTCAAGGTGGGGGGCCACTTACGGTTCAACCCAGTGAAGCTGAACATTCCGATTTGCTCAGTGATGTGGTTCCAGGTTCCAGGGGTCTTGAGGGCTTCTAATCGTGCCCTGAGTTCAGATCTCATGGACAGAATCCGGTCAGCCATTGTCTTCACATTACCTGTCCTGAGTGGACAGCAATATCAACACCAATCCAGATGGGAGAGATGGTACACAAAAACATGTTGGTCTAAAAACTGTAATTTAATCGACAAACTGAAAATGGGATCGTGATCTCCCTATGATGATATGTGGATGCCTGGACAGGTTGATAAGCAGACCAGAGAGACAGACTTACCCGGCAGAAGGAAAGGACGATATTTACTGATGGAAGTTTAGTGCTAGTCTTGGGTATACTGGCTGTAATACTACTTATGTTTTAACTCAGACTTCACCTAGGTGCTGACAGGCTTCACCTAGGCAGGATAATATATTTCATCAGGACTAATTAAATAGAGATTGCAGATTTAGCTACTATAAAAAATTACTCTGTTTCAAAATAAGGTAAAATCCATGTAAATTAGATAAGAATGAAGAGCTCCCAAATTGTCACACTAACTTGAAGCTGGATATTCTATTCTATACGGAATTTCTTCCTGTGTTTCCCAGCTTTAGGTGGAGGAAGCCAGGGTAGTGGGAGAGCGGGGGAAACTCCCACTCATAGGGGACCTCCTCAATGTTGTGTCCCCGTGTTGTGACACGCACATGTGAGTAGGTGCCAGTCCGATCTTACAGAAATATGTGAGACACAAAGAGGTCAAAGTTATTTTGTCCTGCCTTTGCCAAAATAAAAGGAAGAGACAGTTAAGTGGAATAGGACAATTGCTGTTCTACATTCCCAGCCCTCGCCCAGCAGGCTTTGAGCCCCTTACCATTCCTTAAAGAGCCCAGGGTCAGAGAGGGTAAAGGCCACGATTCGCGCTCCCTGAGCAGGGGGATTGGACCAAGTAATTCGCACAATCTTCTCCATCTGGGAAAGGACCCGCAGGATACTATCAGGTTCTTTTGCAACCACGGTCAGATTCCCCACTCTCTCATCTAAAGAGAGGGACAAGAATCAGCCTTAGGAACCCTGATGGGGGGCGGGTCGGGGCGGAGCTGTAACTCAGGAGAGCACTCACTGTAGAGCCCGAAGTTCTTGGAGAAGGACTGTGCACAGAAGAGCTCAAATCCTTCCGACACGAAATAGCGAACAGCCCAGGCGTCTCTGTTTAGGTCTCCAGATGCGAAGCCCTGATAGGCTGAGTCAAAGAAGGGGAACAGAAACCGGCGCTGCAAGGAAGGAAAGAGAGTCAGGGCAGGAAATCCTTCCAGAACCAACTTCAGACACCGGCCTTCCATTCCCAACTGGTGCCTGGAAGGAATTTCTAACATTGTCCATTTCTCCTATTTCCCTTCTTTCTGCATCCAACCACTACTTTACATCTGTTTCTCTGTTCAGCTAAAAACCAAGCAACAAATCTAACAATTTCAGTTAACCTTATTTTTTTAACAATATTGTCCTAAAGTATCAAAATGCCACTTTGCCAACAAGGCTAATTTTTGAGGCATGGATGTAGCGTCCTATGTCGGTGGATTCTTTCCCATGAACTCCTGGTGTGATAAGCTTAGTCAAGTGCTGGCACATCCCCAAGGCCTCCTCACAACCTCAGGGTTAGTCTTCAGGGTACTCAACATGAAGGAAACAGCCTGGTCTCTATTCTTATCACTCTGATGTTCTCAAAGAGTGCCCCACACTGAACTTCCTCCCCCGCTGGGTTTGCTCTCTGTGTGGGCACCACTTCTTTACCCCCAACTGTCCAAACCTGAGGCCAGGGTGCATCCTCCACTCCTACCTCTGCAGCTCATCCCTCATGGCCAATCACACTCCAAGGCTCATCACTCCTGTCTCCTGAGAGCTCTGGAATCCTTGCACATTGGCCACGGCCACCCACCTCCTTCCAGTCACCATCAACTCCTCCCTGGCTTATGGCAAGTGCCTCCTAACTGCTCTCCAGCCTGTTTAATCTTGCCTCCCTCTCATCCATCCCCTGCCACGTGGCCAGGATGACCCGAAGACAACGTACATCCCATCACGTCACTCCATGACGTCAAAGAATTCAGTGGCTCCCCACTGCTCTCAGAATAAAGCTCAATACCTCAGCACAGGATCCAGCCCAGTTTGCCTCTCTAGCCCCATCACTCACACTCACTCCCTTGGAACCCACACCATACCAACAATTACTTTCACTTCCTTAAATGGGCCATGACCTCTGCCTTGGACTTGTGACCATATCCTTCCCTCTGCAGAGAACATTCTTTCCCCGTTGGCCCCCCACCTATCCTCATCCTTCAAGTCTCAACATGGAAACCACTTCTTCCATGAAGGCTTCTTCTGCCACTACCACCCCTCCCAACACACATACACTCCCCAAAGTCTGGCTCTGTGCCTCCATAAAACACCATCCACACAGCTGTCTCTCAGCACTTGGCTATCTCCCCTGGCAGGATGTATGGCCTTTGAGGGCAAGGACCATCTCTGCTTGGTTCACTATTGTATCTCCACAGTGCCTGGTGATGACAGTTTCTCAGTCAGCATTCTCTAAACACATTAATGAAGAATATATATGCTTTGAGCTAGAAATTCCAATCTAGAAAGTTATTCCAAAGAAATAATTAAAAAAGCAGTTTTATTACGTAATTGTTCATAAGATCAAGAAACCTGAGATCTAAATGTCCATCAATTGATTTAATTAATCTACTGTGACATATCCATGCATGGAAAACAATGCTACAAAACATTTAATGACATGAAAGGAGTTCAAACAAAAGATAAAGTATGTTACAAAATAGCAGAAAATTATCCCATCTTTGTCAAATATACATACGTATAAGTGCACTTAAAAAGAAAAAAAAAGGCTTGACATTCTGTACACTGAAATATTAACAATGGCCTTCCTTGGGTAATAAGATTTACAGTTAATATTTATTTTCTTCTTTGGGCTCATCTCCATTTTCCAAATTCTTCAGTAAACAGGTATTGCTTTTGAATACATTAAATATTAATACACACCATTTTTTAAGAGATGCTCTGAAAAGGCAGTTACCTTCATGACAGAGGCAATCTCCTTCCACTGCTCTGGAGTTGGGTCGGTCCCAGTTGGGTTGTGTGCACAGGCATGGAGGACAATGATGGAGAACTCAGGAGCATTCTGAGGAGACAGAAGCTATGTCAGCTCTGACACTAGTAGGAATATGGGGTGACAGAGTCAGTGACACACTGGTCAAGGGGCAGCATATTCCCTCCTCATGTGCTATTTCAAAAACCACCATCTGGTCTGGGTAGGATGTCTCAAACTCTCGAATCAACTGATCTACAGACTTTTCCCTGCTCCTCCTGACACCACAGAATTCTGTTCACTTTGTCATTTAATCACCCACCTCTAGATCATTCAGGAAACCCTGGAGGTCAAGTCCTCTCTTCGTTGCATCCCAATAGTGATACGACCGAATGTCCTTAAATCCAGCACCAGAAAACACGCCATTATGATTCTCTGCAAGCAAAGGGGCAAAAGGTTAAAAACTTTTACAAACACAAGGAGGCATAATTGGAAAGGACACAAGCCAGCTTCCAGGGACCTCACAGGCTCCATGTCTAGCGGGTGACGTCGAGGAACAGGGTTAAGATTAGAAGAACAGGGGCTGGCCCGGCAGAGTGGTTAAGCTCGTGCGCTCCGCTGCAGGCGGCCCAGTGTTTCGTTGGTTCGAATCCTGGGCGCGGACATGGCACTGCTCGTCAAACCACGCTGAGGCAGCGTCCCACATGCCACAACTAGAAGGACCCACAACGAAGAATATACAACTATGTACTGGGGGGCTTTGGGGAGAAAAAGGAAAAAAATAAAATCTTTGGGGCTGGCCCCGTGGCCAAGTGGTTAAGTTTGCGCGCTCCGCTGCAGGCGGCCCAGTGTTTCGTTGGTTCGAATCCTGGGCGCGGACATGGCACTGCTCGTCAAACCACGCTGAGGCAGCGTCCCACATGCCACAACTAGAAGGACCCACAATGAAGAATATACAACTATGTACCGGGGGGCTTTGGGGAGAAAAAGGAAAAAAAATAAAATCTTTAAAAAAAAGAAAAGATTTAGAAGAATGATTATAACCAAGAACAAGTTCAACCAGTTGGAGCCATGCTAAACTTACATCCTACTAAAGTGGGACTTCCTCCCTCTACTTTTTAGGCCTCCTCAAGGAAGTTTCAACATATACTAAAATACAAGTCTTTCAAGAGTCTTGGGAAAAAGCATTCCTAATCTGAACTTAAGCATCAGGTTATTCACGTACTGTCAAAACCACTGCTCAAGCCATTCCCAAACGTCAGTTGATCCAGGGCTGGGTTACATTTTCTGTGTAAGCAGTGAGAGTCATGAGGACAATTCTCCCTGGTTTCTCTGTTTCTCATCTCGCCACAGCTAAAGAACTCACCCCAGGTTGGTGAGGATACATAGACGGGTGTGTTCTTGTTGTTTGTTCCATTGTACCATCGTGATAAGAACTCGGCTCCGATTCGAAGGGCACCTGTTCCCCCTAAAGATTGCACACCTCCTACCTGAAAGAGAAGAAGCAGGGTCACTGGTTGATAGTGGGGAGGTCAGATAATATTAGGAAAAATATGGTAACAAAGAGCGCTTACTTTGTGCCTGCTCTGTGCTAAGCCCTTTAAAGGTCTGATCTCATCAAAACCTCACAGCTACAGGAAGAAGATACTATTATTTGCCCATGTTTACAAATGAGGAAACTGAGACTAAGACAAGTGAAGTGACTTGCTCAAAGTTACCAGCTACAGAGCAGTAGGGCCAGGTCTTCAACCCAGGAAGTCTAGAAGTCTGACTCTCGGGGGAGCTTCCCTTCTGAACACAGAGGTAGAGGACGTATCTAGGCCACATTTAGAGTGTGCCCTGGAAGGCAAACCCATTCCTTTGGCACCCATCTCAAGATCAAAAGTGCCCTCCAGCAGGGGCTGGCCCAGTGCATAGTGGTGAAGTTCACATGCTCTACTTCGGTGGCCCCGGGTTTGCAGGTTCAGATCGGGGGTGCAGACCTATATACTGCTTGTCAAGTCATGCCGTGGCAGCGTCCCACATACAAGGAGGAAGATTGGCACAGATGTCAGCTCAGGGCCAATCTTCCTCACCAAAAAAAAAAAAAAACCAAAAAACTGCCCTCCAGCAGAAGTCAGTAAAATAATGTTTCTAGCTTGCCATCAACATCAATCCACAATACTCCTTCTCATGGCTATAAGGCAGGCTTATTAATCCTTAGAAACATGTTCCAGCAAAACAAAGGTGACACATGCATAATACTTTCCTCTCTTTAAGCTTCCTCTCATCTTAAAATGACCTCACATGAACAATAATGAAAGTCTTATGTTTGACCATTTACAAAATACCCTCACACATATTCTTATTTGAGGCTCACACAACCCCACAAAGTAACTTCTAGATCTCCAATTTGCACAGGAGGAAACTGATTTAGAGAAGTGGTTTGCCAAAGGATACACAGCTGGAGAGCGGCAGAGCTGGCACAAATCCAGGCCTTCTCACTAGTCAAGATCTAGTCGCCATGCCCTGCTGACCCTGTTCCATGTATCTTTCACAACTCTAATTCGGTTTTAGCATGACTCCTTCAGTAGAGAAATATAATACATTACATGTTGCCTAACATGTCTAAAGGATTAAGGAGAAAGAAAGAAAAAGATCACATGAGAAAGTCTATCTAAGTAAGAAGAAGGGCACACACCAATCTAACAACGGTGGCAACATCTGAGGAGGGCCTAGGATGTGGGAAAAGTGGTCACAGGGACTTGGCCTAATCTATAGGTTGTTTCTGAAAAATAAGGAAAACGTATTCATGTATTATTTGTATTTTAAAATAATTTTTAAAGTAAATTTAGATGTCTGAGATTTGCTGTAAAATAATCCAACTTGGGCAGGGAGACGGAGGGTTTTGGGACTGACCAAATACAGACCATTGTGGAAGCTAGGTGATGGACGTCGGGGTTTCTTCATTACACTGTTTTATCTATTTTTGTATATATTTGAAATTTTTCACAATAAAAAGGTAAAAAAAAAAATCTTCCTAGATAAAGAAGAAAAGCTTCCAAAATCTTTTTAAAAAAATTAACATAATACTGATGCCAAAAGATGACAAAGGAAAAAAGAAAAAAGGCAGAGACCAAGCTGTTTCATGAACACTGATACTAACTCCCCAGACGAACACCAACGCACTGCAGGAATCCAACAGTACATTAAGACACACGCCCGTGATCAAGGGAGTCATCCCACGAACGCATGATTATTAAGAAATATATTACAAAAATTTGTCAGGCTGCTAGACAGCGATAACCCAAATGATCATCGTAACAGATGAAGAAAGTATAGCCATGCTTGATGTAAGTGCTCAGTAAAACAGGAAACAATGGATAATTCCTGAAAAAAAAATTCATTCAACCATGATGAATAAGTCAGCTTCATGAGGAACAATGAACCATTAGCAGAAATCCTCTTTAAGTCCAAAACGAGGCAATGATATCAGTTATCACCATTATTGTTCCCCACTGTTCTATTTGTGCTCAGAGGTCTGAGCATCTGTGAAAAGAATACCATCTGGAACGTGAAACAGAAGCAAAGTTGACATTCAAGGAAAAGAGGAACTGAGCACAGCTGTACACTGCAGAGAGAAGCGAAGGCAGTGAGCTGGGGTGAGCGTGGTCGGCACACATCCGATTGGCCCACTGATGTCTCTGCTCTTCACAGTGATCCCGCTGAGCATCAGTCCCTTCCCATTACTGTAAAGGCTTTGCCCCCACACTGGGATCTACCTGGATTCTTCATGCAAATCGCTACCAAGGTGATGTAACCCAAATGAGCACATATTTTCCACGGATTTGTCATCAGTTAAGTTGAATGTCAACTTTATACATTATTTCACATTTCAAACACATAACACAATTCTGGAAGGTTAATACTTCCTATACAAATGAGCAAGGTTTCCCTTGAACACAGTTTGAAGGCATCATGGAATCGTGAGAGGTGCACACGGACATCAGTGAAAATACTCCCAGGCATAATTTTTTTATTTCCTGTGCTCAACTTGTAACTCCAATCCTTCCCTCCCACTCCAGAAAGCAAATTCATTACTTAAAGGAAGTCAGAAAGTCAGCAGACTAGATTGAAAATGTATTTGGCAGAGATAAACCCACTTCACTAACATCAATCTTTGACATTCGTGACACCTGAAATATTAAATTCTCAAGAAATTGTCACTCCCTAAAAATATATTTGAACACTGGATAGTTTCAGTGAAACACAAACTGCTCTAAACTATATCAGTAATTAACAGAAACCAATTTTTAGCAAATCAATAATGTAGCAAGGGGTCATTCTGTGAATTGATTTTTGGCAAATCGCTCTAGAGACCAAGAAAGTCCTGTATTTGGGGTGAAGGGAGACCACACTATCAAAGGCAATCAGTACAGACTTCTCAAGGAGTCAGGCAACTGGACCTGGGGGGCTGGAGAGGGGTATGTAGAACAAGGGAAACCCATTAAGACTCAGTGTGAAGCGATGCCAATAATCTGTACTCCTGACTTAGCCACACCACCTGAAGAAATCCCTGCTGGACTCCAGAACATTTGTCTCAGATCACAAGATGCCGAAGTTATGACTTGACTGCGAGGAGCAGGAGAGCTGACTAGGAGCTGCTTGTAGCCGAGGCCAGGATGCAGTGAAGTTCTGGGCGCCCCTAACAATTCACATGGTATCTGGCAAATGCTTCTAAGTAAACATCGGCTGAACTAGATGAAGAAAAAGACTGTTGAAAAGATGAGAGCCACAGCGAAAGCCCCCAGTCTCCCAGAGGCAATGGACAAAGTGAGGAACTGGGATGTCACCCAACGGCCCACCAGCCCTCCTACCTACAGTGGCTCAGTAATTTTAGAAGCTGAAACATTACCATGCAGGAGACGAAAATGCGACATTTGGTCTGGATCCTAAGGTCTCAAATTCGAGAAGCAATAAGAGACCGTGACGATCTAGAATATACGTCTCCTCAAAATGACTGATGGACCTGATAACGTTAAACCTTGAGACGACAATTCTAAGGGAAGACATGACTACTGCTCTGGTTCATTCATTCTTTTATTCACGCCTCATGTCCTTCAAGTTTTGGCTCAAACGTCATTTCTATTTCCACCATGACCACTCTAGTCAAAACTGTATCCACCCTCACTCCCACCCTCAGCCCTCTTCACATGCTTTCCCCTGCTCTATTTTTATAGCATTTATCATCTTTTAATATACTATGTCATGTTCTTATTTATTATGCTTATAGTCAGTTTCCTTCCACAAAACTCTAAGCCAGGGCAGAGGATCTGGGGTGTTTGGGTCACCGCTGTGCTCCAACAACCAGGACAGCACCTGCCCCTGGTGGTGAGCACTCATCTGTTGACTGACTGAATGAGTGAATTCAAACATCTGAGCATCTCTGAGGGGCCAGGCTAGGAGCTAAATGCTGAAGATTTGTGGATAAAGAAGGAAGCCATCATCCCTGCCCTGGGGAAGTTATGAGCTTGTGAGGAGACAGACTTATAAAATTATCCATTATAGTAAGAACTCTTATGCCCAAGCTGTGAACAAAGTCCTGTGATGACTCAGAGGACTCGAACAACTCGCTCTGCCTGAGAGCAAAGGATTCCACAGGGAAGCAACCCTTGACTGGGCCTTGAAGGATGTGGAGGTGGGGACGGGTGAGTCAGAGAAGTGAAGGGGCACATTCCAAGCAGAGGGAACAGCTGAGGCAAAGGCTCTAAGCCATGACAGGGCCTGGTGGGTCTAGAAAACAGCAGGCTCTCAGAATGGCAGGACCCCAGTGGGGACGGGGGTGGAGGGGGGGCAGGGGGGAGGCTAATGCAAGGACAGGATGAAGGCTAGCTACAAAATAGGCTGCATGACGATTTACAAGTCTGGATTCTACCCTGTAGATAATGGAGAAGCTACTGTGTGTCGGGGGAAGAGGGGAAAGGGAGCAGGTGACATGATTAGTTTTCTTTTTTAGCCCAGGAAGATCATTCTAGCTGCAATGTACAGAATGTACTAGAGGGGCTGGCCTCGTGGCTGAGTGGTTAAGTTCGCGCACTCCACTGCAGGCGGCCCAGTGTTTCGTTGGTTCGAATCCTGGGCGCGGACATGGCACTGCTCATCAAACCACACTGAGGCAGCGTCCCACATGCCACAACTAGAAGGACCCACAACGAAGAATACACAACTATGTACTGGTGGGCTTTGGGGAGAAAAAGGAAAAAAAATAAAATCTTTAAAAAAAAAAAAAGAATGTACTAGAATGAGGAAGAGACCAGAGGCAAGAGAGTATTAAAAGATTCCAAAAGAGATGACGGCAGGCTGAACTAAGACTGTAACCTGGGGATGGTGAAGACATTCAAGAAAAGGGGAAAGGCTCCGAGCTCAGAATCAACTGGTACCTTGGGTGATGTAGATGCCAAGAGAGTCTCTCCTAACCCAGTCCAAAAAAAAAGGTCTTCAAATATTTATA